TCTTCCTACCAATATGAACAAGCTGCGAAAACAAGTTTAAGCAACCTCAATAAATCATTTCATAGGTGTGTGGCTTAGTTTACAAATTGGGCAAAGAAAAAGAAGATTTATATAGATCAAGGCAATGGAACTTGGTACGGTCCAGGATTTCATGGGTATAAGCTGAGGCAAAAGAAAATATCCAAGTTCACAAGGATATCGAAGGAATATGATTTAAGAAAAGCTCGCAGTGTCTTATTAAGACAGTAGGAATTCTGATTGAGCTTAGAAACAAGCCATCCATTTCAGAAGCAAACAGGTTGCCTACCTGCGTTTCTTTGAGAAAATCTAGAAGCAGTCATAGTCGGTAATTCTGCGGAGACTTTGGATTGAGGCATAGCGGTTCGTCGAATTGGACCTGGCTTAGAAGAAGCAGTTGATGAGGCAGTAGTCTTTGTTGACCAGGAAACAACAGAATTTGTCGGTGCTCCCACAGAATTACTAATACCGGTGCTAGAAGTAACTTCCACATTGCCAGGACCAGCATGCGCCCCACGAGCAATTCGATTCGCAGATATAGAAGCGCAGGCACTGGTTGGCGCGGTAGAAGAGGCATTAGAAGAAAGCGTGCGTTGGCGAAAACTCTGAGTGGGGGCTTGCTGAGGCTGGTTTGATCGGTAACCACGAGTGTCATTTGATCGAGCTCTATAGAAAAGGAAAGAGGTCAGATTGCTATTCTAAATGGTAACAAAAATAGGTCAAATACAATAATTATTACATTAATTCCTGAAGCGGAAATACCCCTAAAGGCATTAGACACGACAATGACAATTTTAAGTGACATATTAACAACAAACAAAATGCATAGAAGCAACGGATTCAGGGAAGGGCAAGACTAATAAGTTACTAATAAGAAGTAAAACTAAAAATAAGGCAATATCACAGGGAAGGATACAAGCAACTAGGGCCATATAAACATAACATATATCAAATAAACTTGGAAAAATAAGACAATACATAATGATACATAATGCGTTTAGGGAGGTTCAAGTAGCTGATTAGAAGATTTCAAAGCTACTGCATA